ATAACATTGATTTTACCTCTATGTTATGGCTATCTTGTTACTGCTAAATAATTTTTTTCTTCTGCATCTTATTTTGAAAAGGCAGTTAACAAATAGAAAGTTTCACATTTTAGCTCATATAAATGAATCAGTTCATTTGTGCTATGATTAAAAGATTGGCCTAGAAACCAGAATTCTAGGCTTTGCTTCCCTTGGGCATAAAAGCCACCTGGATGGCTTTGGGTCAGTCATTCTCTCCAACCCAACCCACTTCGCAGGGTGGTGGTTGTGGAGAAAATAGGAGAGGACATTAGGTACTTTGACCATTTCAATTGAGTGTGTGTATGAGAGAGAAATTACTCCATCATCCAGGAAATGGTTCCAAATGTGCTTTTTCCAAGAGGCAACTGGACTTCCTTGTTTTTCTTTGAAGATGTTTAGCTTCTCATCCAAGAAGCTTTTTCAGCTCTGACCAACCAGATGGTGGGGAATGGATGAAGGATTTATATTTCTTGCAGACAACTGGTCATTAGCATTCTTTATTTCTTTTATAAAAACTTCAGATAGGAACATTAATCTAAAACATCATTATTTTTGTCATCTCCAAATAGTTCCTGTAGCATATTATGTGCATTACCAAATTCTTTTTTCTTGATCTGCATCCTTAATTAATTGCACCGTGTGTCTACTGAAGATCTACTGAAGTGGAAGAATAAGTGATGAGCCAATCTTGGGTACAAAGTAGTATACTTGGGTATTTATTTATAGAGGTACATTTCTTAAGAATTAGGCTCTAGATAAGCAAACAAATGTAGAGGAATCCTGACTACCAGAACTCCAAAACAAGAACAAAATATAAATACAAATTGGAAAAGCAGGTGGTAGAAGAAAAAGCAACTTCACTTATTTTCCACCAAACTAAAATAATAATAAAACATAAACAGTACTCACTAAGTATATGACTTTGAAATTGTAGACAATATACAATGATTAAAGCTGTGGTAGCAAACAAAACAATTAAACAAAACAATTAGTGCTTTATATTCCTTAAGGCTCACAGTGATGGCATAAAATATTTATATACAGGCTTTAAGCTTTAACAATAATAAAAGTACAAAAAGTGTATGGATTTTCCTTTTCAGAAATCATTCCTAACCTTCACAGCAGCCAAACTTTAAAAGCTGGCTCCATATCCACCCTCGTTTTTTCTTCCTGTTCCTAAAGCGGCACAGTTAGAATTTCAGCTCTTAGAAAGGTGAGCTACCAACTAAGCAGGAAGCACCATCTCTTAACCTGTCTATCAGACAGGAACAGATACAGTTTTTAATCACTATTTTGCTTTTGAGGAAGTCTGTAAATAATGCAAATGGGAAGGAATGTTCTGAGACAAGATGAGTAAAGATTGTGTGGTCAAAAGGCCCAGTTTATGTGATTATGCTAATAACTGAGGCATTGATGGTTATTAATTTGCTATGATTTTTTGGCTAATTTTTCTCTCTCCCTCACTTGATATTTTGAAGCATTTTGAGACAAAAGAGATATTATAGAAGCAGTGTTACGGCATTTTAAAACAATGAAACCTGTAATATAAAGAGCAATACTTGTTATAAAAGATTATGCATACCAGAAAAAACTTTGATGTGAATTTGCCAATAAAAATATTTGATATATGTATATGTGTGCTTGTGTATATGAATACACACACACACACACACACACATACATATATACCGTACATGCATACTTATATATAAACACTGATACCTTCTCTCCAATTCCATTGGATCGACTGGGAGAAGAAAGTGATTGGTTATTTTATTTCTGATGTCATTTTGTCTTTGCTGCCTCACCCTGATTAGGATAGATAACAAACAGTGGTGGGTTAGCTATTTATATCAGTACGGAGGAGTAGGCAAAGGGATAGTCAGGATAATGTGAATGTCCTCATCAGATTGTTTTTAAATGAATAGCTCTTAACTAAGGGTTTAAAGATTTCTTACTGCTTGTAACAAGGGAGTATTTTGGCACCTTGCTGCTGAGAAGAGCCATACTAGAGCTAAGATGGAATCAAAAGGAACAACGGATTCTTCCATTTCTATGAGTTACTACTTGCATTACTTTAACTAAATGGGCACCATTGCAGGACTTCTTCCCATCGGGCTGGAATAACATTGGAAGATTCCACTATGTGAGAAGCCGGAAGAGTTTGGCATGGAAAAAGTGGCAGGATTGATGCAAGCCTCTAGAATGACAGTTCTTACACCATAAAAGACAGGTTTTATCTGGACTATGGTTTCATCATTTACTCTTGTTATTCTGAGCACAAGTATGTATATAGAGGAAAAAGACTCCAACCAAGTCCTGTTAAAATGTACAATACTTTCCTCTATTCTCCTTTACACTGGCTCTGTTACAATTATGTCCAAACTAAGGCACTGAGGAGAAGGAAGAGGAGAAGAAAAAAAAATGTAGAGGGAAAGAGGAAAATAGAACAGTGGGTGACAAGAGAAGCTAATGCTATTAAGGATATCCTGGAGAAGTGCAGGCAACGGCTGTCTTCATAATAACTGAAGCTCAATTCTGCACTGAAACACCAAGCAGTGAAATCCTTCAATAAGCAGTGCTTAGCAGTGCATCCTTGTGGAAGTTTGCTGAACTCAAATTCATTTCTTTCTGTTACTCATCAGTGAACGGTGAGTACAGGACTGCAGTTTAAAATGTTTGGTTTTTTTGGCCAGAGAGCCTTACCTAAAGTATATATTATCTTCAATGTTTAAAACCTATAGTAATGACATCAATAAATTACAATTCCAGTTTGAGTTAATATTATCTATCTGAAATTAAGTGCCAAATTAAATACTGTATGTATTAGATTTTCTACCTCATGCCTGTTGCCCCTTAGATCTCTGTATACAAAAACTGATCATGTTAATTCTTTATTGCGCAACAGTGCCAAGTGGTGGCAAGTACTTGTAATGATAGCCATGCCAGTCTTTACATGTCTGTTTTCTCTGAGGTGGACCTAACTAAATTTTTTCTGTTTTCTCTTCCCTATATCATCAAGTGTATGTCATCACTGCTCCCAATGAATAGGAATATCCAACTGCTGTTTTTCTTGAGGAGCTATTCTTGGGCACACAACATACAGCATCCCAAAGAAAGATATCAATCATTAACAATGAATTAATTTTATATTGCATCCATAAGTACTACTCGCTTTAAAGCATCCTGAAGAACAATCAGACCAGTACATTATTTTGTGAAAACAGGTTAAAGGTAAACATTTCCCCTGTCCAGTTGTGTCCGACTCTAGGGGACAGTGCTCATCTATGTTTCCTACAGTAGCTGAGGGAGCCAGCATTTCCGTGGTCATGTGGCCAGCCTGACTGAGGCGCACGGATTGCTGTTACCTTCCACACCAAAATGGCTACCTATTTTTCTATTTGAATTTTCATGTTTTTTAACTGCTAGGTTAGCATAAATATTAATACATTTATTAGAAGTGTTCTTATAAAACTATTTTTAGTTATCATTTTTCTCTGGGAAGTGCGATTTTTAGCATAGATATACAATGCAATGTCAAATATGCAACACTGATAATAGCCTAAAAGTATGCCTATCTGGTAATAGATAAATTAATAATGAGGCAGTTCCACCAAGAAATGCAGGCAACACTACTGTATGTTTTCACAAACATATCAACGCTTAAAAAAATATCAATAGCCAAGGTTTACTTTAGTAATTTTAAACTACAGTAATCCAATTTAAAAGCTTGCAGTGCTGGATGACTGGAATTTGCCAAAGGCAGGAATGCTTCTTTTCATATATTCTTTATACAGTAATTTCATTCTGGTTGAGAAAGCTGAACCAGCAGCTTCTTACTTTCCCCATCAGATTACCTCCTTGTTCTCTATGCAACTGTTGTTGCTTCTACATAAATCTTATTTAACCATTTTAGAAAGAAATGGCCAGTGCCTGAACCAACCTAACTCATTTGTCTTCAAATTGAGGGCAAAAGGCTAATACCTGGACATTGTGCTTGCACATCTGACTTATCCCAGCACCTAATTTAAAATCTTGGCTCAGGTTGGCACTCAGAGTGAACTCAACTTTGGTTTCCTATGAGGCACAAGCCAATCAATAATTGACTTGAATGTTGGCAGCTGCTTCTTTTCTCTTTTTGGTGAAAACCCCCCAGAAATGGTTTAACAAATTAAAATCTTGTAACAGTAAATTACCTGAAATACAAAGGATATTCAAAGCCTAGAATGAAGAAGAGTATTTTGTTTTGTTACCTCAAAGAGACCCCTGTGATCCCTTAGGGATTAAAAAAAAATCAGTGTAGATATTTTTAGCACTGGGTACATTCCTTCTGGTGGCCTTCTTTTCCTGGTTTCTGACACAAGGGTATAGTATAAGTTTTTCCATATTCTCTTTGGGATGAATGTATTTTTGGCAATGGCAGAAAATGAGATGTAAAAGGTTTCAGTCAATGCTATTATGATACCAGCATTGTGGTCCAGTTGTAGAGCCTATTAGAGGCTATTTTCTCAAGTATATTTGAAGAAAAGAGCTATCTTCTTGAGAAGCATCTTCATCCAGTCCTGAAAAGAAGGCACTTTGGGTGCAAATGTAGCCTGCCTGATAATGGCTTTGCAGGGCCCAAGAGGTTTGTTGTCTGCCAAATACAAAGTTATAGTAAGACAAATGCGAGAAGAAGAGAGAGGTAAACCCCATAACTTTTCCATTGGTTATTGCTATTGAAAACAACCTATCAGCCCTGAATTCCAGTGTCACCAGGATTTCTGCCAAGCATAGCTTTAAAGAGAAGCATCTGACTACCAGCTAGAAAGTTGAAAATTCCAGTGTACGACTTGCAACACATCTAGATTGAATTCCTTTCCAGACAGATCCAGTGTTTCCATTTTAGAATAGGACTTCTAACATCATTGGTAAGAAAGTTGCCTTAGAAAGCTGCTTCACTGACTTTCTGGGCACCAAGATTTGTTTCCAGTCAAGCCATATCTTTCAGTTCTGAGATGCCCAAATAGACTGAACGCAAGCATGGTCAAGCCTAAAATTTTAAAATCCAGTGTATTCAAGAGCCAGATAAATTCTAGCATCCTACAGCAAATCAAGAAAACAAAATGCCTTTGTACTTCCTTGTTTTGCTTGTGGCACTATTCCTTCCCAAAGTATGACATTCTAAGATTAACATCCCTCTGGTAGGAAGGAAACCAAAGTAACTCAGACCCAAAGGAAGGGATTAGAAGCAACTAGTCAGGGCGTGGTGTTCTTTGAAGAGAGTATTCAGTCAAATGAGTCTTGGAGCCCATCGTTTTTCTGCTTCGGTCAAAAGGGTGCAGGTGTTCCGGAGACTCATTCACAGAGCCAATAAAATTGGAAATAGTAGTCATTAAAGAGAGAGCCCATCTGCTCCACAGGGGTACTGCAGTTAGCTTGGCCCTGTAAGGAGGGAATGGGGAAAAAAATAGGTTCAAGGGAAATGAAGGTGGTTTTTTTTTACTGAGAGGAACTCTTATCTTCTTGAGGGAATCATGAATAGCCATCATTAACAGAAACAATTTACATTCTGGGAAGCAAACGTGGAAAGTTGGTTGGATCATTAGCTCAAAACTATTACTACTTTTGGAAGAAATGTAAATGAGTTCAAATTTAGAATCAAAGTAAAAAGTAAGCTCATACTCTGAATAGGTCCCCTTGGATCACTAAAACTCTTCTCCGGTTTTATGAAGGAAGGGTAATTTTCTGTGTGTTTTCAAAACAGGTAGTTTTCAAGGCATAGAAGCCTTTATACTGATGTATTGTGTCAGTAAATGTAACTTCCCCAACAAGGCCCAGATTTAAATCTGTTCCCTAAAAAGTTCAAGTCTCTCCTGTGCTCTCATACAGGTAGTTGCATTAGAATAGTGTTTCTCAATCTTGGCAACTTTAAAATATGTAGGTTTCAATTCCATGCTGGCTGGAGAATTCTGAGAGTTGTTGTTCACATATCTAATAGTTGCCAGGTTGAGAAACACTGCACTGGTACAAAAATAGCAATCCCAATACTGTGGTAAGAAATTTTATAGTTTTCTTAAATGGTCTCAAATAACCCTGCACAGGAACATATTTTTATTTACTGAAGATTAATCCTAAAATGAAATAAGCATGCCTATGAAATCTAGACATTCTCTTTCCCATGGATACAGAGTCATTTCTTATCTATACCGGACTTATCAGGAGGTAATTTAAATATACTCACACCATCCTTGTAAACATTGCTACATGTGGATATAATTCATACATTTATTTGTCTCATTTAACAGGAGTTTGCAACTCAGTGCTCGGTTTAATGAGAAGATTTGTTACCAAATTCATTGCCTTAGCTGTATGTATTTTTTTTTTCACTCTAAGATTTAATATGCCTTACAAATGTATGCTAGAGAGGACATGGCAAGCATTGATACTCACAGGGCTAGCTAATCGGAAGTGGTAAGTGAATTCCTGGAATGGCATCATGACCACAGGCCAACGGTATGTTGATCCCTAGAAAAAAAAGAACATCCAATACCTGGGATGAAAGAAAGCTATTGTTGCTGTTGCCCCATTTCCCAGACTGTCAAGGTGAATTGTATCTCCTTTGCACTCTACTCCCCCATTTTAGCAAGAAACTGATGTTAGAGAACAGCAGTCAGCCGTATGTACTTATGAATAAGCCAATAATTTTATGTGTCAAACAGATCCCCAAAACTAAATTTGGCTTATTTGCAAGCATATACAGTAATACTTTTTAAAAGTACCTGTATAACTCATATATACTTGCATCTAAGCCCACCCATGGATAAGTTAACCCTTTTTAATCAAAATATTACGAAATATGGATAATCCATGGCTTATCCATATATAAACTAACCGAAAATAAAAACATATGAACATTTCAAGGTTCAGCTTATTTACAGATGGGTTTATATGCCCAAACTATTAAGCTTTTGTTTTGAAAGGGACAAGAGGACAAAAGGAGGTGGGAGGAATCGGTGTTATGGTCAGTTTTTTGAAAAACACTACTAAATAGTGATTTTCAAGAAATAAAGGCAACATCTGTTCCAAATAAAACTAAGATGGTCTAAGTACACAACAAATTGAAAGTATGAACTTTATTTTCTATTATAGATGTAACCCACCCCCTACCCCCCAAAAAAAGCCTAGATGCAAATACATTATCCAGCAGATAAAATATTTTGTGAGATATCTTTTTCTTAAAAAACAAATCATACCTGAATATCTGTTGCATTAGACAAGCTGTCTAGGTCATTTTCAGTGTGCAGACATGGACTATTGGATGTGAGATTACAAAGATAGCCAGATACAGCAGAAGAAGCACTGAAAGAAAGGAAAGAAACAGAAAGCAACAAGGATGAACAGGTCATTTTCAAATCAGCCTTCTCTTGGCATTTTAATAATATAAATGCCACTATTTACAGTATATTGGCTTATGAATTCATGTTCTTATTTCACTGTAAAATACTCTTTCTCACTCTGCACATTCACCCACCAAAAACATACAACTCCTAATCATATACCATTATACCAGGCTTGGACTTGAAATGGAAGAAGAAATGCACTGTAGCACTGGGATGCATTCCCTTATCTTCTTTCCTCCTTTGAAATATCTCTCCAGAGTCTTTTCAGAGGTGCTGTTGTTTTGCAGGCAGGAAGAAAAGACTGAAAGTCTTCGTTGTGTTACAGCAGAAAGCAAAATATTTGTGGCTCCAAAGAATAATGGAGCTACATTTTGCAAAGTATTTTGAACAAATCTAAATCCTGAAAGTAATAATTGACAAGCCACTTCTCTAATTCCTCTTTGCTTTCTATGAAAAAGTTTTTAGCTACAACCCAACAAACAATAGCATGAAGACTCATTGATCCAAATTACTCTGGTTTTCCAGGTCTAAATGTACAGATGAATAAATATCACAGTGGAGTGAGATACACAAAGGAACAAAATGATATTTTAAAAGTACAGGAGATGCATTGCATTAAAGTAGCAACACGGCCTATCATCAAATTAGACAATATGTGGTGTTTCAGGGGCTGCTGGCCTAAAATTCTCAATGACCTATGTCCTGATAGTAGTTTTCATGTGTGTGTGTGTGCGTGTATGTATGTATGTATGTATGTATTTCATTTGCTGCCTATCTCACTATAGGGCTACTCTAGGCAGCTTAAAATAATCAGCAGTATCTGCTGCAATGGAATATTGGAGTGAAATGAAGAAGGTTTTGCAGCAGCCCAACTGGAGATGTCAGAGACCAAACCTTTTTGTTGTTGTTGTTTTGGGACAAAACTTTTGTGCTCTGCCACTGAGCTACAAAACCCTTCCCTTTTGACAAACAGATTTTCTTTTGTATCATCCTAACTTTCTATCTTTAGCATGTCAGATATGAAATGCATGGCATCCTCCCAGAGTAGCACTGATAGACTTTAATTTTTGACTGTGGCCATTTTAGGATTATTGCAGCAAATGGTTCTGTGATTATGAGATGAGAAGTGGCATAGAAATATAGGTAAAAGAATCACCACAAGGAAGTATCTGCCTTTCTGTGAAATCCCTAGTCCTATGAGGGAGGGAAAATAAAGATTCTTAAACGGAGTAACCAGATTAGATTGTCAAGCCTCAACCAAAGCCTGTCCCCCATCTTCCTCATGACCCAGTACTATTTTCCTATGAATTATATTGAGAATAGTACTCTCAATTTATGAAATGATGGCAGATATCACATCTTTTCTTTATCAACTGTATAATTTTGGAATTCTCTTTCTCAATCTGGTTTCCTATTGACTGTTTTAGCTTTTACATTTTCTACAATATTCTTTGCCAGAATTGTGCTTTCCCAAAAGTTTTTACTTACTTCATTTCCAAGGTAAGATTTGTGTTAACTGATGTAAATTTGCTGATGGGAATGCGATAAGTGGTATTTCCAGTCCTGCAGGAATTTAAAAAAAAAGGATATATCACACATTTTTTCTTATCTTCATGTTTTCCTGCTGCGCTTTGTATGTATTCACTCAAATACGATTCCATCATTCATCACTGGTAATATGGCAACCAAGATGCATAGAAAAATCCTAAATTGATATATTTAGTTACCTGGATGACACAGTTTCCTTCCTAGGAATCTGACCTTTTAAGAATCCTTGTCTGATGTATGCAAAAACTTGCAAAAGCAATGAAATGCCTACAGTGGAATACTGGAGTATGAAATTAACTGGATTTCCAAAAATAGCAAAGCTGAGCAGGTTGGTCAGAGAAAAAACAATAAAGACATTTTTGAAAGATGAAACTGTACGTGGACGTTTTGTTGAAAATGACTTGAGAATTACAGGATTTGGAAGTTAAAAAGGGATGAAGAGTTGGACAAACTTTAAAATGATTATTACTTGACTGAAAAAAAGACAGGTCATAAATGTTTTCCTTCCTTCCTTCCTTCCTTCCTTCCTTCCTTCCTTCCTTCCTTCCTTCCCCTCCCCCCCCTCTGTTTCTTATTTCTTATCTTTGTTCTGGTTTGTTTTGTATTTTTGCTATACTGATAAATTCAGATAAACATATATTACAAAAAAGAACTCCCAGTCTAACAAAGCTTATGGTTGCCATGCTCCCACTTACCTGCAGTCGTCCCCTGTAGCACAGGCTTGGGGTAAGATGACCACATTCGCCTCCAACAGTGAGACAAACTGGAGCACAGGTGCTGTTTCTATAGGACAGAAAGGATCAAGATGGAGCAGGAGCTTACTCTGCATAGGAAGTTCCACAAAATGCTAATCATTCTAAAAGGAAGAGGTTTAGGACTGTGATCTTCTAACTAATGCAACCATATATTGTATATTTCTGCCTAAACCAAGCCGAAGGGAAATCAGACAGTTTGGAATGGGATTAATAAGCCATGCCTGCTAAGGATGTATGTGTGCCATCACTCCACAAAGCTTTACATGCAGCATAGGGCACAACAGGAACAGGCAGTATAGCCGAGGAAGACCTGGCACAGATGGAAAAATAGCAGGTGTTCTCCAGTTTGGATATGATTATACATCAACAGTCATCAGAGCAAATGGCTACTAGTAGTAATGGGATGTTCTGGAGGAGAGTAAAGAAGGAATAAAGATGAGCAAGATATATTAAGGAGGTGCTTGCAGATAGTTAAAACATCTGTGAAGAATCTGTAGCTCAATAATTAAAACATATGTGAAGAATCTGTAGCTCAAGAGCAGGGGGGTTTCGGAGGACTTGGCTGGTTCCTTGCAACCCAAATCTTTCCTGCTTGCCCATCAGGGGTGCTTTTGAGTCATTCCTGACTCTGGATGATTGCCTGGACTGATCCCTGCAGTTTTCTTGGCAACTTATTATTTTTTTTCCAGAAGAGGTTTGCCCTTGCCTGCTTTTTAAGACTGAGAGTGTGTGACTGGCCCAAGGTCACCCAGCTTCTATGTGCCTAAAGCAGGATTAGAACTCAAGTTTTTCAGGTTTCTAGCCTGATACCTTAACCACTGCACCAAAGTGGTTCTCTTCTACATGCTCACAGGGAGAGCCAGATTGCAATAGGGAGGATGAGATGGATTCCATGTGGGACTTAGGGGTAGACAAGAGGGTGAGAAAATAATTGAAGATTCTATGTTTCTGCTTGACAGTGGTGGATGATGCACATACAGGTTCAGGCACACATGCAAGAGACAAGGGGTACTGGGCTGCTGCTGCTCTTGGTCACACAACTATGAGGTCTCTAAACCGGGGTCTCCAACCGTGGCAACTTTAAGACTATTCCTGCATGCTGTTTGGGGGGCAAAAATGTTCCCTTCTTCCAATAGACAATCCCTGTTTGCTTATTTATTTGATTTATATGTCTTCCCCTCTCATCTCTGGACCATATACCAGGCTACAAACAACATCTTAACCTCTCAAGTCCCAATGCCCAAGATCACAAACAATAATGAAACCCTATAAACAAGTAGCAGCAACTGGCAGATCTTGACAACTTCCTGGCCCCAATGGCCCGGGGAACAGCCAGGTCTTTAATGCCTTATAAAAGGCTAAAAGGGTTGAGGCCATCTGAAATTCTGCAGGGATGACATTCCATAAGGCAGCCACAGAAAAACAGAAATCCTGGGTCCAACAAGAAGACATTGTTTAATATGCCACCCCTGCTAGATCTGGTCGGATGAGCAGAGATGGTGGAAAGTGTCTCTATTTCCAAGTAACCGAGAAAATAGGAAAGATGTCTACCATTAGGCTTGGTGCTTGCGATGCCAGGCTCCTTAGCATCTGGTTGGCTGATGCTCCGCCGCTGCCGTGATGCCCGATCAGAAGGAACGCTGTTGTATGTGAGGGGCCGGTTGGCAATATATTTGGACTTGCCCTGGATGTTGGTGAAAAGGGAGGAGGGGCTGGCATTGAGACCCCCAAAGCCTCGTGATCGGTCAGCAGTCTTTGGCCACTTTGTGTGAGAAGCTGTCTTGCCAGTGATCCCCCTTGATTTGGCTTTGATGTTTGTCACTGGTAGGAGTGACACGAAACTTTGGTCTATGAAGGCAGAACAATAAAATAAAAATTAATAAAGCTAATTTGAGAAGGGACCGGCAATGGACAGACATCTAAGAGTTGAAGGTGTGACAACTAAAGCAGCATTAATTCTCAGAGATGATAAACCTGTGACTAGCTTCTAACGCTGGAGACTCAGTTAGACAAACTTTAATTTTTAATACAGATGAAAATTCCCCTAGGAGAGTTTCCATGCATTCTGATGGTTTAGTCAAAAGTACTGTACATTCTCAGTCAAAATCTTGCAGGAGTTTCTTAAGATAGATATAATTCCATATAAAAACATTTTTGTAGAAAATGAATCTGTAAGAACTGGTTTGCACTAGGCAACTGATAGAAAAGCCAGAATTATTGTTTAAATCTCTACACATGTTGAATTTATCCCTTTCCGTAGGAGTACCAAACTATTCTCTAATATTTAAATATTCTTGACCATTGTATTCTGGAAATTCCCCCCCAAAATGCAACAATTAGGTATAAGTAGGGAAGCAAGATAAATTTCCTACCAGAATGATCTTGAAACAAAATGATTAAAAACCCCAAGAGTAATGTTTTGAAACTGATTCTGTTTTATGTAAATAATGATTCTAATATGGCTTCATCACCCAGATCTTCTTTGCTGCCTTCTATTAGAAGAGAAGAGAAAAAAGTTCTTAAATAAACAAATAGGACCAAATGGTTTTACCTATCCGGTTGGTGGCGACTGTAGTGGTCCCAGAAGGTCCAGGAGTAGACATGTGGTTGAGAACAGAAGAGCAACAGGTAGAAAAACAAGGTGGATCGAAACAGACTACTATGTTATAGGCAGGCAAGGCAGGGGACAAGTCAGGTACATGGGTTGTGGCTGTAGGAAAAGAAGAACAGAATCAACATCAATTGTGCCAAATCCCAAACCAGCATGAATTAGCTTCTTGCACTAAATACATAATTCACAAAATTATCTTTTAATTTAACTTTTCTCTCAATCTGGATGAATTCCCTCTTACAATCATATGGATTGGCTTGTCCACACTAGAAAACCAATCTTTTGGTGAACAGTTTTAAAGAGAGCTTTATGTTAGTAAATCTTTAGTGCATCAGTACTGTTTTCTTGTCTGCACCCTAAGGGAAATCAATCATATCTCCCACATTTGGATCTCATGTATTTGCACAAGAGGACTCAGATGTGCAGAGATTCTAAAATCAGTCTCATGCCATGTGACTTTACACTATTGTTTGTATTCAACAATAGTGTTGAACAATACTTAGTAAGACCACACCTAGAGTACTGCATTCAGTTTTGGTCACCAAACTATTAAAAAGATGTTGAGGCTTTAAAAAAAATGTACAGAGAAAGCAACCAGGATGATTAGGGGACTGGAGACAAAAACATATGAAGAACGGTTGCAGGAACTGAGTATGGCTAGTTTAGTGAAGAGAAGGACCAGGGGAGACATGATAGCAGTGTTCCAATATTTGACGGGCTGCCACAGAGAGGAAGGGGTCAAACTATTTTCTAAAGCACCTGAAGGCCAGATAAGGAATAATGGATGGAAACTGAACAAGGAGAGATTTATCTTGGAAATAAGGAGAAACTTTCTGACAATGAGAACGATCAACCAATGAAACACTTTGCCCTCGGAAGTTGTGGGAGCGCCATCACTTGAGACTTTCAAGAAGAGATTGGACAGCCATTTGTCAGAAATGGTGTAGGGTCTCCTGCTTAGGCGGAGGCTTGGACTAGATAATCTAAAAGGTCCCTTCCAACTCTGATTATCTATATCTGTAATTATCTATAATACTGAGACAATTTATTTCAAATTGCAGTAAAACTAGTCTTTTTTTAAAAAAAAACTCTAGCTTGTGAGCAGTCTATAACTATTGTGGTTCGCCAGCAGCAGGTGCAGATGGCTGAGGTCTTGGAGAACGAGGACTCAGATGAGGGGCCTATGTGTGATGCAGGGATGAGGCCAGGACCATCAGAGAGCGGAATGCTGCCTTCGGAGATTGTGGAGGCTGGCAGCAGTGATCCCCGAGGAGCCTGTGCCAAGTGCGTATGTGGGCAGGGCTGCTCGAAGGAAAGAGCAGCTGCAGCAGCATGGGCGACTTAGGAGTAAGGCTGCAAGGTAATGGCCCCTCCCTTAAGGGATAAAAGCCAGCCCTCAGAGGTGGGATTCTTTGCAGGTAGCAAAGAAGTTCTTGCACTTCAAGTCTTGTGGAAATTTGGACTGTTCTGGTTTGTGTTTGGAGACTTTTGGTTTTGAATATTTCCTTGTAATTTGCTCTAGTATTCTTGGCAGACTTGCACAACCTTGGCAAGGCTTGTTCTTATCTGGGACAATTAGTTTTTAATAGTATTTTACTGTGAATGAACAGAATTCACAGAGAAGCATTAAAAAGGTTTTGCTTTTATCTCTGTTTGGTGTTTGTTTGCTTTGAATGAGGCTTGGGCCAGAACAATAACTCTACAAGTAGTCCTTGCTTAATGACTGTCTTTTTTAGTGACCATTGATATTACAACCATGCTAAAAAGTAACTTTACAACCAGTCCTTGCATTATGGCTGTCTCATTTCAAGGTCAGCAGAAAACAAATTGTATTCAAATTACTTTTAAGGCATTCAGATTGAATTAATGATTTGAAATTGCTTATAGTTGATTAAACTGCACCTGGGGATGGGAACAACTGGTACCTACCATTCTCTGAAGGGGAAGCATTGTCAGGGGTATTTGATGATGCAGTAGTGGAAAATGTCATCTTATTTTTATCTATATTCTGACTGGACCTAAAATACAAGAAAAATGCAGGCATGAAGTTTTGACATAAAACAGATACGGATGTATAGCAAAGGAAAGAGATGCAACAAGATAAGAGGCTGCGCATGAGGTCACATTTGAAATCTGAAGACAACTTAAAACCATTGCAAAAATAAAAAGGGGTCAGAAAACAGGATGGAAAGTAGAATTATTGTTCTGAATGAATAGAGATCAATATATGAGCAAAGGTTGACAAAGTAACAAAGGGCGAATGAGCTAACATTGCTTTAAATCAGTTCTAAACCCACCCCTTTCCACTAGAAAACAAAAAATTCTGATAACAGAAAACTTTTAGGATGAGATTACAAGCACAATTAAGATTTTGATAAATGGTCCTGGTTCCAACCAAAACAATCCTCCCTGGTCTGCTAGCTGTTCGTGTTTTCTACCTAATGACACCCATTTACATTATTCAGCGTTTAGCCACATAAGCCTATAACTGCACATCATATTTTGCAAGCATAGAAACGGTCCGATGAGGATGATTTCTTGCAATTAAGAACTGCACTTTCAATCTTCCTATTTTTCATGTTATGAAAAATGTCATGAATGTTTTTGCACATTTAAACTAATTGTGACTTTAACATATTATTTAAGCTTGGTTTCAGTATATCAATTTACAAAAACTCTTTTTCCCTGTTCGCCTTTGTTGAGGAGAAGCAACACTAAAATGCAGACAAGATATAAAAAGAAGGGAGAATGCATAAAAATACAAGGTGGCAGATTTGAAAGAATAGGACAAATGTATTGCAGCATATTGAAAAAGTACGACCATACCATGGACAGAGAGCAACTGGGACGCCAGGACCTCTGTGCTGAAAAAGAGCCAGAAGGCAAGAAGTAGGCACAGCAAAAGAGCTACATGGCACCAAAAACAGAAGAGGAAAGGAGAAACGGAACAAGGGAAAGTGTAGCAAAGAGTATTTGATGGGAAGAGTAGACAGAGAGGGATTTGGGGGAGATAAATAAGTGGGAGCAAAAAAGGAGCAAGCAAAGGGGAGGGAAAGAGAAAGGTCACTTTAGTAATTAACATTCCACTGTGAATTATCCAAAATACATTGTTTCAAACTGGAATACAGCTAGGACATATGGACAATTACATAAAACAGCACAGGTTCCAGAAACTGATTATGACCCGACTGTTGGGGACAATAGAATGACTCTGTGAACTGCTTAGAGAGGGCTGTAAAGCACTGTGAAGCAGTATATAAGTCGAAGTGCTATTGCTATTAATGACTATTTAGAAAAGATCTTAAATACAATGTACAACTGTGTACCTGTACACATGTCGTGGTGTTATTCTATAGCAAATATACTTTGTTATAGAATTTATAAATTGCAATAAATTCTAAAAAGTGGTCGTGAAAAGATATATCCTGAACGCATACCTCAGTCTTAGCTGAAATTCATTAGCTTGGCAGGGTAAGGTAGCATGTGGGATGCTGGCACTCAGCTACCCTCAATTCCCTTTACCATCTTATTCTTTTGTCATCCCAAAATGGTAAGGCTGGCCCAAACATCTGCATCAAAAATTCCTTAAGAATTTTCCCTCAGCTCAAATGAGAGTCCAATTACTTTTCAAAGCATATGACCAGGAAGAGGGAACATACCCTTCGATATCCACAAGGTCTTCCTCACTGCGGTAGCTTAGCACATAGAGCGTAGACATGGACACCACACTATGAAAGAGAAAACATCAAATAAAGTTTTTAAAAATAGAGTTTCTGTGTTCCAGACAGAAAAGGAGCTCTACACTAACAGGCCATATTTGTTTGTTACTTATATTCACAAATGTAAGTGACTTTGATCGAAAAAGAGTTCCACTTCACAAATTTATTGCTATTCTCAAATTTATTCCTATTCTCTCCTATCTCTTTTCCAGTATGCATAAAGCATTAACTGAGTATAACTGCCATTACTCTAGTGTAGCTCTTAAAATAGTTTTAACATTGCCAGGAAAAAGAACACAAAGAAAAGTCTCAAATTTCCTCAAGAAAAACTGGAAAATTATACCCAAATCCAGGATAGTCCCATCCGCTTTCCAATTTTTCTCAGCTTAACTCATTGCTAAAAGGTAACAGAATAACAGAGTTGGAAGGAACCTTGGGGGTCTTCTACTCCACTCCACTGCTTAGGCAGGTGCCCCTGTATCATTTCACGCAAAAAGTTATCCAATCTCTTCTTACAAACCTCCAGTGTTGAAGCACCCACAACTTCTGGAGGCAAATTGTTCCACTGATTTATTGTTCTAACTGCCAAGAAATTTCTCCTTAGTTCAAGATGTCTTCAGGTACTTTGGAATATAGCTTGACCCCCTCTTCTCTGTGGCAGCCCCTTAGATCAGTGGTCCCCAACCTTTTCTGTGCCACGGCCCGGTACCGCCATCACAAAATGATCTGTGGCCCGGTACCGGCATCAGCACGCATGACAAGGCAAGGCGAGCCGAGTGACCGGCCAGCCAGCCGTCCCCCGCTTCTCCCCGCCACCTTCAACTCCTCCTTTGTACCTTTGTCGATGGGCATCGCTTTGGGACAGCTTTGGGACGGTCACTCGGCTCGCCTTGCTTTGGGTGCTGAAAGAATCCTCGCGCCTTAGTTTTGTTCGAAGCCCCCCCTTCGATGAAACTAAGGCGCGAGGATTCCTTCAGGACCCAAACGCCGCTTTCCAACCGGAAAAGCTCACCCAGAAGCACTTTCTCGTCAAACAAGATGGCGGCGCCCAGCAAACCAGCGGCCCGGTAGGAAATGTTCCACGGACCAGTACCAGTCCGCGGCCCGGTGGTTGGGGACCCCTGCCTTAGATATTGGAACTCTGCTATCATATATCACCTGTAGTCCTAGTCCTTGTTCAATTTTAGAACAATGTATTGCCTTATCCTTAAAAACGCTGCTTTTTAAAAAGATTCAGATTAGCTTTACTCTGAAGAGCTAATCAAACTTTTGCTCAGGACTCTAATTCTAAAGATTAAATATGGTGATCAACTATAGCAACCACTTCTAGCTTGGCATGTTTTTATTTCGTCATTAAAACATGAATATTTTGCTACATGGTATTTAAGTATGTAGATTTTAGTTAGTGATGTACATTTCCATCTAATTCTCACTGACAAAAGCAACGTGGTGAAAAGATGGCAACAATTTTAGAGGAAATAAACTAATATAAATAAAATATGTCTGTTTATCTACTCACATATCTATTCACTCACTGGCTAACAGGCTCTCTCATACATTCTCAGTGCTGTACCAACCTAAGGAGTCACTCACCTGAATGCCATGATGACCACCAAAGCAATAATGGTACCTTGCAGAAAACGTTGACTGATGCAAGCTTGGTCTTTGACGCCTTGTGTGGGAGTCTGCACAAAATAAAGACAAAGGGAAAAATCATGTCAGATGTCTGCTTGGCAAATGTAATTTTAAGTCTCATAGGTTGCTTGTCATCTTATTACTAGCAAACTGTACTTTCTACGGAATCTTTGGAACTCTTATCTAAACCTTCCCAAGGAAAAATAAATATTCACAAATCAATTAATGGGAAACACTGAATAGGCTAAGGAATGGCAGAGCTACATAGAAGGCAAGTAGTTTAAAGCAGAGGTTACAAATCACTAAAACAGAAAGCTGTTGGATGCAACGAGTTTGAGCACCAGCTCATAAAAGAACTTTGCATCAAGGAGTGTATCACACATAATACAATTCTTAGCCACATCAACTATGAATTTATATTCATAGCTGATGAATACACAGTAATTTGCAATATGAATCCATATTTATTTATAAATGGTAGAGGATAGCATATTAACATTTGTAGAACAGGCTGGAATTTACTCAACAGTGTAATAAACACACTGAACAAATATGATGTTGCTCAGAACTCAAACAAATGTTTTGCTTCCATCTCTTCAAGTATCACAGAATTTGTACAGTAACAGAATCGGAGAATCAGCTCCTGCATTTCCTACCAAAGACCAGAAATTTCCAATACCTCCTTTAATACAGAACATCAAACAATTGTAAAAAATTACCTTGCCTGCCACTTTGGGGGGCCTCTTTTTATGCGGTATGCTTTCTGCACGGCTGAACTGACTTCCAGCTTGGCTGTATTAAAAAAACAAAGTTATACTGCATTCAAATAAGCATTTTTCTTCTATTGCATTTTCCCTCTGCTTATTCTTCCATTTCTAACAGTGGTCAACAAAGCAACACATACAAACATACATACATATATACATACATACATACATACTAGCGGTGGTATTCAGCACGTTCTGACCAGTTCTGGAGAACCAGTAGCGGAAATTTTGAGTAGTTTGGAGAACCGGCAAAGACTACTTCTGACTGAAGATTTTACAGTATCCTTCCCCTGCCACGCCCACCAAGCCACGCCCACAGAACTGGTTGTAAAAAAAACTGAAATCCCACCACTGATACATATGTGTGTATGTGTGTGTGTGTGTGTGTATGCACACATACACATACACACACACACACACAGAGTATATATGCCACATACATACATACAAACAAACAAAATACATGCTTAGAGTCACAAATATGTACCGCAAACTGGGGCTCCTACAAATTAGAGTACCTTATCCAAAACAGAAACAAGACTTAGAAGAATCACTTAGCAGATTGTATTCTCAACTGCAGCAAAATATTTAGGGGTATAGAATGAATGGAGGGGGGAATAGAAAGCCACCAAACCATACATTTTCTTGCACAAGGAATCATTAAAAGTATGAACCTGTTTTCAAATTTGTTGCATTGTTTATCTCATTGTACCATCCTTCTTTGAAAACGTACTACTCTAGACCTTTTCAAGAATGGGCTTAAAGATATAGGTTTACATTCATATTTATCTTGAGAGAGTTCATAAATGTTCCCTACAGATTCCCTTCTGTGTTCTCTTCTTCATGCCCCTGCTTTAACCATCAGTGCTTCATATGAACACTCATAATGTCTAGAGGCTTGAATTGTGCAATATTTCCTCTTCTCATTAAGGATTAGAGAAATATCATAATGTTGTTCTTATTTATGGTAGAAGGAGGAAAAAAAAGGTCCTTTCCTACTGTCTTGGAAAGTGAACTAAATCTTCAGCTTGGAAAAACACCTGAACCTATTCCAAAACTCTATGAGCTTCTCTATTAGTTCAAATCTTAATATACCTACAAATGCCACTGTGCTCAATGTAGTTTCTTCCTAAGTCATAGGATTGCAACCTATATGTTATTTTTGTGATAAAGAATTAAATCTGTCAAGAGCCCTTTCCTCCAGGTGGCCACTCCATATTATGATCCAAAGCTGAATAAAAGTTATGTTTAAAATTCAGGTATGTGTATTACCTGAACGCTCCAGAGCTTCCAGTTGACTTCATACTGTCCAACCTTTTGAGCTTTGCCAGTTTATGACTCCACCTCTCCAGTTCATCAATTCGGTTCTCCAGGTTGTCAGTCAATTTGCAAAGCTCCTTCACAGCCCCAACATTTTCCATAAAAATACGCTCCTGCAATGAGCAAAATCGAAGTTTGCTTTTATACAGAGACCATCTGATGGGCTCAAATCCTTACCTTGTGATTTTGTCTTTTGTTTTAAAAGGGTGAGGATGTTTTGTTTTCACAAGTATTTTTTTTAAAAAGAAACTTAACAGGTCAGGCTAAATGACTTAATAGACACTTTCCTCATTGTGGACCTTTTGTAAAAATCTTTTCACTATGTAACACTTATAGAGAAAAATGTGGATGCAGAGACTTTGTGATGAGGCAACTTACGTAACAGTGACACACAAAAGTCCATCCCTGAGAAAAGGATCTCAATCTCAAACTCTTCCCTCCCCTGCTTCTTTGATTTCTGAGTTTCTCATATTCACATGTTTCAAAGATGAAACTCCAACAATCTGGATTGGTATCTTTCATATGTCTATAGTACCATTAATTCACTGCTCACTCCCATTCTTCTCTTCTGGAGAAAGATTGCTTTCTGACAGTACTCAAAATCTTATGTATAGTTTAATGAATCTGCATTCCACTCCAAATCATATTTAAGGCAGCTAATGCTAAGGGAAAGATAAATTGAACACAAACATCACAATAAAAACACAATCCACAACCAATCAAATTAAAATCCACCTCAATTGGCAACAAGCTTACCTGCCAAATACCTTTGTAAATAAAAAAAAAAATTGCTGCAAAGCATTGCAAAGACACGTACAGGCCCTTTTCCATATTCCACCAAGTATAGCTTTGATCATGGTAGAATTGGGAGGTCATCTTCTGCAGATTTTAAAAGCTGGGCAGACTTGACTTCTTGAGAAAGCAATATGTACGGCTTTAAAGGATTCAATCAAAATCTTTTATGTGGTCCTCTCAATAATATTTAACAAAAAAATTCTGGACCAGCTGAAATTTTCATACTTTTTCAGGTTCCAATTATAATACATGCCAGCTCTGAGATGCATTCAATTCTTGCTATTATTAGAGCAAGTAGTTTACCATTGATCATACCTGATATCTCCAGGAATGAATGCAATGCCGTATGCATTTTACCCATGTAAATGCTCTCTTGACCACTATCAAAAATTACATATCTAAGCTTTAAGACTGAAGGAAAGAGATAGCAAAAATTGGATTATCTATCTTCAAGAAACCAAAAATTCGATATCTATCTTCAAGACTGAAGGTAGGAAATACAATTAAAATATGAAAATGTATTTTCCAGATAACGACAGCTCTGTAGTGTGGTTTATAAAACCATTTTATGTACATTTACTGAAATGTAGGAGTGGTCTCTTTTTGGTCCATATCAGTCTTCTATTTGTTAATTCACAAATCTATTCCATCTCTGCATTAGTATATCATTTTTAAAAAATAAATATCACAAAAATATATTTTACTATATTTTCACAAAATAAATCCTTTATAATACACTAAATGTGAAAATATTTTATTATTATTATTATTATTATTATTATTATTATTATTATTTGGCCACCCACCTTACCACAGGGCTACTTTGGGTGACATAGAATGTTAAAATATGTATACAATTTATTTTAATAGAATAAACATTCAATAGGTAAGGATATTTATGGGCTTATTTTATTCTATCATCTGCCATACATCTTGGTTAGGACAAGACATTCACTTGCATATCATATGGAAAAAATAGTTGGCATACTTTTTCACTAGACTGAATTCTTCTTCATCATAAAAAATAAGCAGTTTTATTTGAAGTCAAGTTAAATGTAGGAGACACAGGAAGAACTAAGAGCTGTCCTTTCTTTTCTTCTGAAAGCTTTTTGAGAAACATAGACTGACTCCCTATCTTATGGTTCTCCACCAAATCACCTGCAATGATTTGAACCAGTCTGTTCTTGTCAGAAGCCTGCCTATTTTTTGTTTTAGTTTTCTCCTTCACATCAGTTCAAGCCAGCAAGTGTAGTTTTTGGCACTTTCTAAAACAAGCATTAGTAAACAAAACATCTAAGATGCAACTTTTAAAAAATGGGGGAAAAGATGTATTTTCCAGATTTTGTATGGGTTTAGTTTTCTTCAGAATATTAAATCTACCTGTTGCTAGTTTATTTCCAAGAGTTTCACTCACCTTATTCACCACAAGGAAATTCTCAATAGTTTTCCCACTGGTAAAGACTATTTCCCCAGAATCTTTTACTGCTTCTGGAAGAATTTCCTTCACCTCTTGAGCAATAACACCTGTGCAGAAAAAAACAATAACATAAAATGTAACAGCTTTGAGCCCAATAAGTGTCATTATAAAAGATATTATAGATAATATAATATAATATCTAATATAATATATTATATTAGGTCAGACCACCTTCGGTCTGACCTAAGCATAGTAGATAAAATTATCCATTAATTACAATGTCCTACCTGTCAGTGACTACTTCAATTTCAACCTCAACAATACAAGAGCACACAAGAGATACAAACTCAGGGTAAACTGCACAAAACTCGATTGCAGGAATACGATTTCAGCAACAGAGTGGTCAATGCCTGGAATAAACTACCTGACTCTGTGGTTCCTTCCACTAACCTCAAACACTTTAACCTCAGACTGTCTACTGTTGACCTCACCCCATTCCTAAGAGGCCTGTAAGGGGCATGCATAAGCACACCAAAGTGCCTACCGTCCCTGTTCCCTTTTATTCATATCTATTTCATGTGTTAATAATCATGTTTATACTTATATATATTATCAAATGCATGCTTGACTAAATAAATAAATAAATATTTATGTGGAAAAGTCACAATTCAAGGTATAATTCAAACAGATGTATTATTTTATAAAAGTTAGCATCAATTGTAGCAAAGTAGCTATTAAAAAAAAATCATTTAGAAACAGCTAAAAGGTTCAGTGTAAGCATAGCCTCTAGAAAAGCTCATTGTAACAGAAAGATAGTATTTGTGTGCCAGAGTGATTTTGGCAACAGGAACTCTTGCATAAAGCATATTACTTTCACCACACCCTTACATGCCTTCAACTAAGAGATGAGCTTAAGCAATAGCTTAGATTGCTATTGGTTAAAGTCAGTGGCCTGATGAGTATACCTTCATTATAAAAAGTGCTACAGAAAATAACTGAACAGGTGACAGATCCTGGCTGGCCCTGGCTGGTGTTGGGAGCTAAGTTGGATGGAGTCTGGTTAATACTTGAATGGGATTTCTTCAAAAACACTGTACGCTTGATTGGGAAGTAAAAAGCACATCCCACATCCGTACGGATATATCTTTAAAGTAATCAGTTAAGCGTTCCTTGTAGGAATTCAGTTTTACCCATAAAGTATTTAGAATCTACCAGGTGCCCCACAGTGGGAGAGGATGAGGGGGAGGAGGAAATAAACGGAACAAATATTAATCCACCATTGTGTGATCATACACCCTATCTTGCAACATCCGCTCATAAGGTATTCCAACATCTTTGTTCGAACAAAGGCACAAAAATGTACTCTGCATTTTAATAATTTGCTATTTTTAAAAATGCTGTAAGTATAGCAATTACAGTATATCTGATATTTAAATTAAGTAAAGAAAGAGTTATTAGGCCTGAGTTTTCACATCATGACGAATGATGCTTGGTAAATGATTTTCCACTATCTTGTACAATGTTAAATACCTAGGCATTATACAAAAACACACTAAGTATAGAAAAAAATCTTCAGATAAAATGTCACATATAACTATAACATCATTGCCAAATCAATAAGTAAGTATCCTCAAAGAGAAGCAAAGAATATGAGGGTCCATGGAACAAATGTAATCAATAGTTTTAGACATACTTGCTACAGTAATGTAAATTAAGCTTGAGGTCAGAAAAATAACCTGTACCTGTCTCAGTTGTATTCTCCAAGCCAGAAGTGGCAGCAAACTCTGGCTTGTAATTATAGTGCACCAGCCGCATACGGGAGATTCTTTTCAGTTGTTCTGTGGTGTCTACCTAAAATTATAAGAAAAAGAAATCCATAAAAGTACTCTGCAGTCCTCAGTACTCAGGCACCAGATTGTTATATCTAACCATATTTGACAGAAATAGAAATGATGTAGTGGAAGTGTGCATACACAGTAGATAATCACTTGTTGATTTCAGCTCAGTATTTATGCGTTCTCTATATTATTGATTTTAACAGTGGGAGCAGCAGAATTTAGCTTTTTGAGTAAAGGGCAGCACTTCAATTTTCTAAAAAGCAAGGAGACTTAGTATTATTTCCACCCGAAGCAAAGCCTGTCCAGTTTTATAACTGGCTGTAATGCTTAGTATCTGTGCTGACCTTTACAGAATAAAGTACTGTATATTCTATAAAAACCAGCAGGAATATAAATCATTTAAATATATTTGGAATATGAAAGGGAGAAATATAAAAGTGTGTGTATACACACACAGACACACAGACACACAGACACACACACACTTAGGTAGGTATCTGAACTATTAGCCTGGAACTAAAACTCTAAGCTTAGACTAATTACCTAAGCTCCCAAATCCACACATATCTTATCTAGTGTTCAGAAATTATTTTAAGTTAAAAAAGGAACAAACAAACTGGGAATTTGGAGGTGAAGCCAAGTTACAACCTGAGATTCATAGCAGTCTAGGAACTCTTCCTTCCATATAGAACACAAAGTATTAAAATCAAAAGTTTGCAATTGCATTTTACAAAGACAAGTTGACATGTAGTTAAGGGTGTAGCAAATCCCATGTACAATAATGGAAGCTTAACTAGAACTATAGTTACATATCCTGACATGAGGGAAGGCATAGGAAAAAAACAACAAAACACACCATGGGACAGAACACAGGAAGTATCAAACAGAACAACTGCCATTGTATGTTTGCCTCCTGAGTTGAGACTAGAATATCTGCTTATTCCAAGTGTTAGGCGAAGGTTGGCCTATTTCTATAATGTTCTTTTTTTTGGCTTGCAATGAGGATTAGTTGCTCAGAGCTCATGAACGTTGCAGTCCAGAAATCTAAAGTGAAAGTGTGGATTTTCAAAGCAGATGCCCTACTGAGTATAATTTGTGGAGTGAACACTTACCTCTTGGATATCATCTTTTACTCGGATGTCTGATGGGTGCATAAGAGATCCCATAACTTTTACATTGCCATGGACAACCAAGGCTTCATCAGGCCGGTCTGTGTTGATGCCAACTCGGCCATGGTGAAAGACAGTGTCAGGGAGCTGAGACCGTTGCCAAAGTACATCACTGTCACTCTCAAATTGACCTGGGTTAGAAGCCTACAAAAAAGACACCCAGAGAAGAGTTGGGAATTAACTGTCAACAATTGCAAATGGCTGAGAAAAACAGAGAAGAAAAATCCAGTGGTTTTACAGCAAGGCACACTATAGGATCAAACAAAGCTCTTCTCCTGAAGAAATAGACAAATATCCATTTGCATCGATAGCCCATTCGTTGATAGGGAGGTTAAACAAGAAAGAAACGGGAGTCAGCAGCCTTTCACAAGAGGCTTCTTGGCCCAAAGCTTCTGCAAGTGTATTACATGATATACTTTATGGACAATTGTGATAGAAGGCAGCTACACTTTATGTGCACTCATGTGTTAAGGTGAAAGATAGGTTATACAATGCCATATAGAGTATTGTGGGAATTTCTCAATTTGTAGCACTTACGATTATCAGCATGAATAAGAACACATAACTCTCTGCCCATGTTAAGAGACAGAGATACAGTCTCAGTCAAAACCTACTTTATAATGTAATTGTTTTTTAGCCTAACAGTAGGCTGCTTATAACTAGGGAGGGCTGTGTGATTTAGTGTGCCAACTCAGCCCAAGGAGCTTGAGTCAGTGTGTGTTTACAGAATCAGCAAGATAAACCTTCTTTCTTGGCTCATAACAGAAAGGTTATATTTGCAAATAGGCTTTTCTTAGTGGGAACAAAGTGTTCTGTAGAGTAAAAAAGCATCCCCAGCTCAAAATAAATTCTTGTAGGATTGTGGAGGGAGAGCCTATAAGAGTTTTAGGTGACCCAGACTCCTCTAAGCAATTTGGAGAAAAAGGAAGAATCCATGTTTAAAACCAAAGGCTGCTCAGCACTTAAACCTGCTTTGCCCTGGAGAAATCTGGAAGCTCCAAGCCATGCTCCCAGGAAGGTGGCAGCAGATTGTGGCTTTTCAATGGCAGGAAAAGTTCTGCATATAGCAGAAGACAGGAACATTTAACAAGACAAGAACAGGAACAGCAGGTTACACGGGAACATTTTCTTTCTCATTTCTTTTGCTCACCTGTGCTATTTCTTTTATATACATGCTTCAGATACAGACATTATTCGCTCACCAAATGCCTATTTGCATTTTTGTCATTAACTCATCTAACCAAATATGTACATTTCCATCAAAAAACAGATTCCAAAGTTGGCCCTTAAATTCACACTATTGCCAACCCAACTTTCTTGCCTCATGTGCTCCCTTCAACATTCATGACATTATTGTCATCCATATTAACTGAGAGACTAATTGAAATATTAGTCAGAGTTTACTAAAAAGAGCAACAGGATAAGCAAAGCAGCAGAAAATAAATATTCTGTCCAGCTGATTCTAGTATTAGTTTTATTCTACATATCCCTGGCAATTAGACTTCTGGGATACGTGGCTTAAATGCTGTGTTTTCATGCAGAGTTGTACATCAAATAGGGATTCCTGGGATGTTTCAGTGGGATTTCAAATAGTAAAGATGTCAGTCCCAAAAGTGCTTTTTTCAGGAGGCAACTGGACTTTCTTGTTTTTTTATCATTTTTTAAAAAGACTTTTTGTTTCTCATTCAAGAAGCTAAAGAAGCTTATTGGATGAAAAGAGAAACATCTTCAAGGAAAAAACAAGAAAGGAAGTCCAGTCGCCTTCTGAAAAAGCACCTTCGGGACACCATGACCTGGATGACTGAGAATCTCTAGAGACTTTTACAGATGACAGTGTTTCAAAAGAGAGTTCAACTTTTTCATTGATAAGCAAAATATTTTGTCCTACATATATTAACTTAGTATGCAACAGTTGCTGAATAATTTATTGCCGTTATAAACTGAGTTAATAATGATTTTTTTCATATGAAGCATTTCTATATAATTATTGGTCCAAAGAAAAACCTTTAGTGTTTTAAACAACTGAACCAATGAAAAAACAACTTTAAAATAAACCATACAAATTAAAAGAGTACAATGAAATAAAATGGAACAAAGCTTAAAATGCTTCAGTATAATTTACAAAGGCCATGTTTTTACTTTTTCAGGGAATCACAGTTTCAACCTTCCACGTTTAGGAGTATTGGATCTCCAACAGAAAAAGAAGCTTCTTCATTCCTTATACTCTTACAATCCAAATGTCATATTACTTTAATAAGATCTGTCTTACAGATTTCCAAGGATATTTTTTCCAGAAGGTACCTGTGCCACAAAGCCACCTGGTAGCCTTTGGCAAGCTCCATTTTTTTTCATTCTTCTGGGCAGAAGTAATTTGCTTCAGAGGACATCTGCTTCAAAGTATCATACATAAACACTCAGAATGGTGCTTGAATGGCTCAGCTTTGAAGGGGAAGAATGGCGGCTACAGATGGGTCTGGGAATGGGCACCATTTAGGCTTTACTTCAGGCAGCAAAGTATCTTTGTTGTCAATATTAACAAATATGATTACTCACATCTCTCTCACATATACTAGCATCTATGGGCTATCCTAAGATGTTTAGATTCTAATCACTCTCAAGCAAGGGGGAGCCTTTATTTAAAAATCAACAAGGAACCCATCTCTTGAATCCTATCTTTAATAGCAATATTTTATGTACTATAAACATGAGAATAGTGTATTTCCATATGGACTAGATCTAATTATAGGATAAAGTTCAAGCTAGTTCTATATTAACATTACACTAATTTTGAAATCTTCAATTTTAGTTCCTTTTAATTATTACATACATTTTAATGATTTTACTGTTACACAGTTGTTGCTTTTTGCTTATATTTTGCTTGCCATGCATACAAAAAAATCAAGCTAAAAAAACCCCCTAACATAGAACTGTAAATTAGTGATATTACCTAACTATTATTATCATACAGACAATTACTAAAAATACACCATGCAGCAAATGCATCTCTTTCCAAGGAAGTGATATGGTACAATATTGCTTCTGATGCAATTATGTATACATTGCACAATCTTACTGGTATGGAAATATATGCAATTCACAGGTGCTTCTAATGTATAACCAAACCACATATTTGTGCTAATGCAGACAGATCCTTACCCTAATTGATCAAATTGGATGCAGCTAAGCATTCTGTTCTCATCTGCTTTACCCACTAATCTAAACAAAGGTCCCCCACCCCCACCACCCCGGAGACTGCATAAGTCAGCATGTTACTTACTTGTCTGCAGACTCCGGGGTCCCCGTCTGCCCTCTGTTTGTGTTTTACCCCCGAACCGGCCCTTTGCTAGAGGAAATGGACACAGCACTTAAAAAGGCAGCAGGGCGGAGACAGCCAACTACAAAGTCACAGCTTAGTGTCCTCCTTACTTGCTTACTAACTTTAGCAGTGAAAGAGCCACAGCTGACTTTTTCACTTGCCTTTCCCCAAGGTTATTCCATCTAAACCCGAAGAAACATTCCACTCGTTTATTCAGATTGTTAAACAGATTGCTAAGAAATTTGATTAGTTGGCCCTATTTGGGGGCATCAGTTTCACAAATATTCCAAAGCCAAAAGGGCAGAAATATCCCCACTTGAATGAAGTATGCCCCAGGTGAAATCAGTCATAATAGTTCTACGAGTTTTCTTCATCTGTACTTAACATTACTTTTTGAGAACTTTAAGGCATATGTCTGCAAAAGTGCAATCTCTGGAGCAGGTTTAACTTCAACAAAACTGATGAACATCTGATCCGTAAGACTTGCCTTGCGGTTTGTGTCACAGAACAGGAAAATTTGATAACTGGTGGTATTGGTTATCGCTAATACAATTACATTAACATAGACATCACTTGTAAAACCTATTGTTTAATATTCCTAGTTACCCTCCAAGAATAAACCTGCTTTCCTTGCATGTAATATTTACTTTGAACCTATAAGCCTTGAAAGCACTGGATTTCCTTTAATATAAGTATTTGCCAAAGCCCTTCTTTTTGCGTGGAAGAGACAGTCAGAGTTTAGAAAGCTAAACAAGATTAGGGTAGAGGGTATTGTGAATGAGAAAAGCAAAGAAAAGCAAAGAACACTGTGGAACAAGGGGCAGGCTGATATTGGGGTTAAGAACATGGAGGAACTCTTGTCAAGCGAAGTATAAAGCTCTTAAATGTTCACACTCATAGAAGGATATGTTGCAAGGGAAGGGAATAGACTTACTCTAACAATGATGCGCTCTGAGATATGAGCAGCCAAAGTGTAGTTCTGGTTCTGAGAGTGAGCTTGCAAAGCCACAACCAACATGAAGTATCTGAAACAAGACAGGACCAGATCAGCATAGGCTTTCCCCAATTCACAGATGGAAACATAGTACATGTAAAAAATGAGATTTTCTAAAAACATAGTGATTGCTTTATCAAAATATTCCATTCTTTAATACTTTTCAATAGTATTTGAATAATTTTCAAATTTATTCCATTCCTTAATAAAATAAAGAAAATATTGTCAGACATTTGAACAACTTTACTTAGAACTAAATTGCATTCACAACATACTGAGAACCAATTAATTCAGTGTATGATAATGGCTTTGAAAACCAGCCAGGTATGGTGGCAGACTATCAAAATACATTAAAAAAAGTGATGGGATTCAAATTTTTTTTACTACCGGTTCTATGGGCGTGGCTTAGTGGGCGTGGCAGGGGAAGGATGCTGTAAAATCTCCAGTTAGAGGTGATATTTGCTGGTTCTCCGAACTACTCAAAATTTCTGCTACTGGCTCTCCAGAACTTGTCAGAACCTGCTGAATATCACCTCTGGTTTAAAATAGAACTGAAAAACTCCAGCAGTTCATTTAAAATTATCCCTACTAGACAGCTTTGCAGAGCTCATCATTCTGTGTTCTTTTTTCTGAATAGACACCAGAGATAAACCTAGCCCAGCACAAGTGAGAACCACTCTTTTTCAGAAATGAAAAAGCACAACATCAACTAGTCATATCAAAATATTACAGCATTCAAAGTTGGTTTTTTTTCTAAGCCTACTTGCTTATCAAGATGTTATATTATGTTACAATTTTACAAATACAAAAATAAATGTGAAGTATTAAATTTCAATCACACATTTCACAATTCAGTTTTGTTCCTTTGTCTTAAAAAAGAGAACAATCTGAGATCTGTGCTTGAGAAACAAGAGGGCAATACAGATATTCTACTTTGTATAGCACTGACAGTGAAAATAAAGCTCCCTGTATGGATCTGGCAAGTTCCTTCTCGCAGAAAAGTGTAGCGTTATTTCAAATGAACAGCTATAAACAATTTGGGGAATTCTAGCAGTGTGAACAGCATGTATTTTCTAAAGCAACACTGAAATAGTTGCTTTGCCATGTTCCTCTCCTATCTTATCCCACAGCTGGCAGGAAATTATGCCACTCTGAATCTTGAATCCCCTAAAATATAATGTCTTTACCACACACTTGAAATAAATCTGTGTTGCATTTCTGCCTAACAGTTTTAGTGCGAAGCAGTCTAAGGGCAATGATTGGTGGTTCCCTTAGCTGAAATTTCAGCCTCCTCCATTTGGCACTCACAAAACTCTGCTTTCTCTATGCGCTATCTTTTTTCTTTCTTTCCCAGTGCATTAACAATTGAATATTTTTACTATTAATATTTCTTGAAACCTTGGCTCAACAGACAGCTTATTCAACTTATGGACCCTTAGATGCCGCAAAAGGCTGGGTGCATACTGTACATTATTTTGTATCTCTTGACTGCCATCCTGGATTTCTGCCACTGAGATGCAATCATGGAATAAGTCCCACTGAAGAACCAGACTCTGAGAAAGGCTTAGCTATGGCAAATCAGTGTGGATCTATAAACTATAAATTTCTAAATTTGAGGATGGATGATATGAAGAGAAGGATGTAGCCAGAGCTTCCCAGGAAGCAGCAGCAGCAGCAGCATGGGAAAGCCATTCCCTGCCAAGAGGCTACTGTACAGAATTGCAAGAGACAAGCCTTTTCAATTACACTTTCAGTTACAGGCACAGGCTGATCAATTTCAGGGCTTTGTACTGAATGAGATCAACCAACTAATTTAAAAAAGAAAAGTGGCTGCAGAAGACAAGAGTTCTGATCTTGCAAACACAAGAGGACTAAAAAGTAAGTGAATAGGTCAGGGATAGACTGAAGAGATGGTCCCAAAGGAAACCAGCAGAATCAACTGGAACCACAAGACTGTTGGCTGCCTCCTCAATAAACTTCACCATTTCCTACTTTGTCTACACGGTTTTTTGAGATGGTACCTTCTTCCAGAATGTAGCAACCTAGGCTATCCCCAGGTGACTCTGTTGTAAGAAGATACTGAGGTACAGACGGAGACATGTAGATAGGCACTTGGGGAATCTATAGTGAGCTATCCTTATTTATGGCCATTTACATAGCACAAAAAAGTTTGTGAAGCAGGTTGGGCACAAGAGAACGACTGAGTGACTAAAGAATCATTCAGTGTGGTTCCTTTGCTGAAAATAGATCTTGAATTTGGGTGTCCCTTGATGGAATCCCCTAACCACCACAATCGTTTTAAATTCCACGTTAGTTTCTATTATACACACTTGATTATTGCCCCGAGAGCCTTTATGTTGAAAAATAGCACTGGGAATCTTAAATAAAAATCACCAGTGGAAGCTTACCTTTGATCAGGATTAGGCTTCCCCTTCTTCCTCATGTTATTGGCTGTGGTCTCACTGAAGTGCAGCCGCCCCACTGTGACCTTTGTGACTTGCTCTGGTGGCAAATTGACCCTAAAAAAGGAGAGAACATTAGAATCATGGAGGTTCTGCACCTGTCAATTAATCAGTTGGAACAGGACAAGGACATTTTATAAAAACCTGTGGATGGATCAAGAGGTAGAGGTAGAGAGAACCAGCGTTTAAAAAGAAAGTGGAAGGAAGACTAGAGGACTAAACACAGAAGTAAATACGCAGCTTGACCCCAGTGTCTGACTTCTCCCTGAAGCCCTGAGTAGCACTCACATGACAGGATTAAAAGGTCTCTTGCTGCGATCCGACTGAGACTGTTCTATGTTGATTGACTGGTTTAATGCTTCCAACTGAAAAGAAAAAGAAAGAAAGATCCAAATCCATTTTAAAGACAGATATGAGTACGTTTGTTGTCCTTTATGCTCTATTCTTAAGTGTATTCATTCTTAAAGAGGCGCTTTCATTTTAAAGCACTGCAGTAAAATAATTATATGTATTTGAGACTGGCCATTATCCTTCTTATGGGAGAGGAAGAATATAAGGAACATAGGAACACAGACATATACATATATGTACCTCCTAGTTGCAAATTATAGATAGTTTGTTGTGTAGAGCTGCCCAGAGTTACCCAGTGGTAAGATGGGCAGCCAATAAATGTAATAAATAGTTTAGATCAGTGGTTCTTAACCTGGGTGATATTGCCCCCCAGGGGGTGATTTCAGTTTTCAGGGGGGGGGGGATGGAACGAAAAGAGAAGAAGTGGGAGCAAAATATAATACAAATACAACAGCTTAATGTAATTCTTTATTACATTATATTAGAAAAAGGAATTGATAAAGGGCATTCCTACAAAAGATCTGGATACAAAAGTATATTCCATCCATACTCCCCTTTGAATGTCTATAAATTGATATATAGATGGTGTCTAATACATCATAGAAATTTATGCCTCAAGTACAACAAAAATGCTAGAGCTGTAATTCTCATATGCTTTCTATTTGATTTTTAAAGTTGTATTCTAAATTCATAAAGACTATGTCTGTATAGTAATGGAATTTTTTTAAAAAGGTAACAGCTGTTAACTAAAAAAATATCTGAAATTTCAAAAGTGGCAAAGATTCTGCTAATCTGATTACCTGTCTACTAGAGTCACACATCCCTTGGTTTTGTAAAGGCTACTGAAAAGAGAGAGGTGGTTGGGTCCATAATGTTTTCATTCATTCATTCATTCAATTTGTATAGCCATTCATCTCATATTTGTGACTAGGGACAACCAAGCAGAACTATTAATAAATAATACAAATATCAATAAAAACAATAACCTTTTAAAAACCTAATTAAAACTTAATTAAAACAAAAATTTAAAACCAGAAAACATAATAAGCAGGCAAGACAATATGCAAGCAAGCCTATGAGTTTAATTAATAAATAAAATAAAGTGCAAAGATGTGTCAATCAATACAGCCATCCAACAGGCTCCAAAGCCATATTAATATTGCCACATGTAAATATGTAGTTTTGTATAATTTTCCTCAGTAAATATATGTGTTTAATTGGGTCATTCTTATTAATTTTTAGGATTCAAAGGGTTCACAAACTTTTAAGGACCAATGTATATACCGGGTATCTTTTCTGTTTTAATGGTTGTCTAACTGTGGTAATTTTAATGAGAATTTATTTTATGAAATATGTATTAAATTTAATTAAAAGCAAATGCTTTGTCAACCACTTTGACTTAGAACTTAGCTAGTCAAATATGCCACACAAACAAGCTCATATATGCATTTGTAATTCAATAACTTGGATTGTTCTACCCATTTTTACTTAACATTTCATGAAACTGTAAATAAGCCCCTAAAAAAAATCTGTATACCACCCCTCAAAAATCTTATTTTTAATAGACACATTTACACATTTACTAAAGTTTTCCCATCAGGCTTCCACCTATCCTTTTAAATGATGCAGTTTGCTATTCTTAGACTTGCCTTCACCCCATGCAGTTTCAGATAGAAGCATTCAAGTGGCTTCAGGCCCTCAGGAGTCTTGACATATTTGGGGTCTCCAATCATACCAATGTACACAGTGACTTGGAAGTGGTTCTTTTTCTGGCACACGAAAGCATCGTCTCCCACAGAGAAATTGAAGCCTTTATCTGCATCCACTCGGTATGTGGGCATAGGTCTGCAAGCAAGGGAAAAGTACACAAGAGAACACATGATGGGCAAAAGAACAAATGGGAGCACCGATAAGACATGGCTATATCCAAAATTTGTTTATGGGAAGTCTTGTTTCCACAATCACTTAGGGTTGAAACCAGAGATTTTTCAAACCTTTTCAAGAAGCACAATGTGCTACTTAAAAAAATATATCCCAAAGTCCTGATCAAAAGTAAAAGTTGTAATGATAGAAAATTGGCTGCACTCAAGTCAAACAACTTCTTCAATCCTGTTGGAGGTGAACATGTGAGAAAGCGTCAGAAAGATGCAGCAAGAAAGGATTGAACAAGAGGCTTCATCAGAAAAGAAAACAAGAAGGAAAATGGAAAACAGGGAAAGACAGTGGGTGCTGAGTCAGAGAAATGGGCAAGACAGAAGGAAAAGCAGAAGATCCCAGAACAAGAGCAGAGTTCTGTGTGGGAGCTTAACAGCCTCTCAGTATTTTGCTTTCGTTCCCCAAAGTCTGAAGTCCTGTACAGATTGAGGATCCTCCTCAGACATGCCGATGGCAACTGGATAAACTCTACATTCTGTCAGCACCTGTGGGGTGAGTGAACCTGGCAGTCTGTAAAGAGTCATTTAGGCCTTCCTCATAGTATCAGAGGGACCCCAAGCTGCTAGAGATGTGCCCTGAACAAAAAGCAGATGGTGGTCACAGAACAAACTATCTTAGTCAGAAAGTATGAGAGGAATTTCCTTTCCCCTCTCCCCCTTCTTCACATTTCTGGTGATTCATTTTGCTATTCCTTCCTTCCTTCCTACATATCTTGGCATTCTACTCTATTGAGAAATCAAAATTTTCCCATCCATCACCTAAAAGCAGACTTAGACTTCCTCCTAAATCTTAAGTCACTGTACATTGTATTTGGGTCCAATTACGACTTCTGCAAAAATATTTAATTCTTCAATAAAACTTGAAACAGCTACATAAGGGGAAATCAAAGCAAGGACAAGTACTCCTTCAAACAAATTCTATACAGAGTTCACTTGAACTGATTACTGCTCAATGCATCTCTAAAACCAGAAAATAAAGGCACGTTTAGTTGTCCAGGAGAGTTAGGAAAGCTTCCACCCAGAGGAATATGAACTATTTATTGTCCAAACCTCTATAGGTATTAAGATTTTTGGAGTCCAGCACAAAGGGAATTCAATGTGTCATCAGGACAGTTCTAGCATGGATACATAGTTACTGAAATAGGCCTATTCAGTCATACACAAAAGGAGGCATATTCCACAGAAGCAGGCTTGGTAAATCTTTTTCTTTGTCATCATGCATATGACATCAGCTGGCTTAGGACCCAACCTTCACATCTTAAGCGGAGATGTCTGCAGAAGAAAAGTCTTCATGGTGCCAACTATAGACAAGGTGGCTTTGGCACAAGCAAGGACTATGATGGTGCACCTTTTATAAAGGAGTTATAACATAACAATATAATGTAACATAACACAACAAAATAACATAACATGTCAAAGGGGCTTGTTACTTGAGGGACCACCTGTCTCCCACAATAACTGTCTGGTCAATTTAACACACTCTGGGTTTTTTTCATTACTCAATGTTATCTACGAGGACCCTAGAAGTACATACACCTTCTCTGTAGTAGCATCTGCCATCTGCAATGAGGTTCCCATTGGGATCTGGATGGTCCCACTCTGCTATTGTTTAGAAGAGCCAAGGTGACCTGGCTCTTCACTTAGGGCTTTGGTGAGGAAGAGGGAGAACTGTTACTTCATTCCATCCAGTCCACTGTACTGGCTTCATTCCATTCCATCCATTGTACTGTACTTTTATATTTTATAGGTTTTATTGTAATTTCTTTGATTACAAGCCACCCAGAGTCATTGGGTGGTATACAAGTTTAACAATAAACAAACAAATTGCCAAAGGGTTTTGATGATTATTTGGAGAGTGCTAATGATGCCTATGCACAGGAATCTTCTTAATGGTTAGCACCTGCTTGGGGTTAGATGTGGGTGAAAGGAATTCAAGGGCATTTGGTCTTAATTCAGCTGTGTACACTTTTCTGTGTACTTGCTTCTCCCATCAAACTGCCCTTAATGGAATAAGTTTTTTTAAAAAAACAATCAGAAACTGCCCTTCTATAACTTGAATCTATTTGCCCATGTTCTACACACAGAACTCTACATTTTCTATGTGATGCCTTTGAAAGTACTATTAGATCTGTCTTTCCTCACAGCTGATCATCCCATTTCCTTCAGTCTCTCTTCACAGAACTCAGTATCTATTCCTAGGACCATCTATGTCATTTTTTTCTGACCCAGTTCCAAATTCTCTGATCCTTGATGCCATTCCACTCAATACCATCCACTCTTAGAGGAACCATGGGTGAGCACACTTTCCATTTCCATTCCCCTAGCAAGCCACTTAATTATCATCCAGCCTATAACTAACTTGCTACAAATGCCATGGAGTATAAATGCTTTGCTGAAATTAAGACGTATTATGCCCATAGCACTTTTGTTTACTACAGAAATGACTTGGTTTAAGAAAAAAATGAGGTAAGAACAAGTCCTGTCAGACAAATAAAATCATTCTAACGTCTGGTAATAACTACACTGTTTTCAAGATGCTTTGATTTTACTTTTAAACATAGCCTGAATTTCTATACAAAAGCATATAAGAGTATGGGAAATAAGCAAGATGAATTTAAATTCTAAGTGCAGGAAGATGATCTAACAACTGTCTGTTACAATGAATTCCATTACTGAAATACTGAAACTGTAGGATTTGTTGAATGGTATTGAAAAAAGGGATGTACAACTTGTCCTTGCTCTTACAACTGTCACAGCATTCCCTGAGTTATATCATGATTCTGGAGCTTGATACTGATTGTTACAGTATCTTGGGAGTTGTGTTTCCCATTTGTGATCTTCCCAGGTGGCTTCCAACAAGCAAACTAAATGGGGGAAGCTGGCTTCACTTAACAATATATGATTCACTTAATGACTGCAGTAAAAAAAGGTTGTAAAATTGGGCATCATCACATGAAGATTCACATAATGATTGCAAACCCTAGTGATGGAAGTTCTTGTCCCAACTGTGATTATAAGTTGAGGATTACCTGTATTATCCTTGAGAAGATCCATTTTTAAAAAAAACAAACCTTATACAAGCTTTTCAAACATAGTTGGGACATAATACAGAGCAATTCAGGAATAAATGAAGTAGAATTAACTCTGAGCAATGCAAGAAAAATGAAAATGTGAGAATAGATGAGCATCAAATCAAAACAAGAAATAAGGACAACAGCAACAGCACTTAGACTTACAGACCGCTTCACAGTGCTTTGCAGCCCTGTCTAAGCAGTTTACAGAGTCAGCCTATTGCCCCCAACAGTTTGGGTTCTCATTTTACCAATCTCAGAAGGATGGAGGGCTGAGTCAACCTTGAGCCTTGGTGAGATTTGTTCTGCCAAACTGCAGGCAGCCGGCAGACAGCAGAAGTAGCCTGCAGTATTGCACTTTTAACCACTGTGCCACCGGGGCTCTAATTAGCGAGCCTCTAAAATGTGAACAATGTTCCAGCTTTTTGAAGAAATGGGGAGATTCAGAGATTTATCATTTTTCCTCTGAATCTCTGGCTGTGAAGATTTCTAAGTAGCACCATAGTTTCCACAGATACATTATCTTCAGATAAGATAAAGTTTCAGGACACTGCAATGTTTATAAGTATGGGGAAGTTCAGTTCCATTTTACTGAACCATGGGTGGATGTCTTTGGGCAAGCCATTCATTCTCTGCCTGAACTATCTCAGAAACTAGCTGTTGTGAGGATAAAACCAAGTGAGGTCCTCACATAAATCACAGTTCCTAGAGAAAAGAAATACATAAATAAAATAAATACTAAAATAATTATTAGCACTCTTCTAGGGTAGAAAATTAAGGTAAGAATACAATAGATATATTATGGATTATAAACATAGAGTGTGTCTTTATTGAAAAACAGATGAAAGCGAAGACCTTGCAAGATTTCAGTTCATTCTGAATAATAACTGCTGCCAAACTCACTCCACCAACACCTGGAACCAGTCCATGAGACATTCCTGGGAAAGATTTATGCTGAAAGTCAACAAATGTAATTCTTTTAGTCATTTGCTGCACATTCATTTTGTGCAGTGCTCTGTGCACAGACAGCATGTATTCATACAGTTGCAAGTAAGTTGAACATTTTGTCAATAAACTGACTGAAAATAGCAGAATGATAACTTTCAACTAAAGAATGAATGTTCCACTACCCTAGTTTTCTCCTCCACTTGTCAAATGTCTAGCTAAATTCAATGGTTTTTGATAGTAAGAACCACAAAACAGTTATAACACAACCGGGTAGAATGTTGCAAATTATAGGTTTCAGAAGAATGATGTAGTACAGGCAAATGGATATATAAGTATAGGTTATTTATTTACTTATTACACACATTAGTGTGGCTTAGTGGGCGTGGCTTGGTGGGCGTGGCAGGGGAAGGATACTGTAAAATCTCCATTCCCTCCCTACCCCACTAACCTGATTCCCAGCTCCGTTCTCCTGCGCAGGGCAACAAAAGGAGACCCAGCCGATCAGCTGGGACTCGGGAGGTAGAGAATAGATGGGGGCAGGGGCAGTCGGAGATGGTATTTGCCGGTTCTCTGAACTGGTCAGAACCTGCTGAATACCACCTCTGACTGGTGGCCACTAGAGGTTTATTCTTATTTCAGTGCAACTAATGCTTCATGTCTGATTTCACATGACTCCTCACTAATCTATCATAAGGGTGAAACAAAACACCATTGTTAAAAATTATACTGAGCCACATCAATATGCATGGCTTTTTCTTATTCAAAGATATCAGTTCTAGACTTCCCGTACTACCTATCTTTCATTACTTAATGGATGAACTAAATGCAGTGCAAAAGACTGGCATCTCCATGACATTTTAGAAGAGACACTGGCAAGGATTAAAGTGTTTGA